GCGCGAGGGAGGCCGCGGCGCGGGGCGCTACGGCGGCAGGGGCCCCGCCAGCGAGGCCGCCCCCGCGGCGCCCAAGGCGCCGGTTTGAGCAGCTGCGCGCCCGCGGGTGCCATTGCTGTGTGCCCCTCGCCCGGCACGTGTTACTGGCGGCCGCTTTGCCGCGACGTCCTTGCAGCGCAGCCAGTGGGGCCCGTCGCGGGCCTGTTTCGAGGTCAGGGCGGATCTGCGCAGCTTTGTTCTGTGCTGTCCTGGGCGTGTGCGAAAGTGGGAGCAGACGGCTCGGCCGCGCAAGAAGCGCCACGGACGCGGCCTGTGCCAACTTGCGGCGCGCGCTTGCGTGCCCGCCCGTTCGACCAGCAGCCGCGCCTGCAGTTCGTTTAGCCCGTTGTCCCTCTGGTCTGCCTCTTTTTTCTTCTGTTGCGCGGCCCTTGTTGGCAGCGCCCCTTGTCTTGTCTCAGGCGCCCCAGCCCGGGCCCTGGCCGGGCTGGGTCCCGGCTCGAAACCCTTTGCCGCAGCCGCAGCCTCTGCCCTCCCCCCACCCCCGGCCGCGCAGCGTGCCGGCCCCCGCTCCCTTCAGGGTGAGCCCGGCTGGCCCACGCCTCGCTGCGGGGGCGTTTTCAAATCCCACCGCACCAAACGGGCGCCAGTCCTTCAGCGCACAATAGCTCCCGTCATTGCACGCGGGCTTCGCAGCGCGGCCGGCTCTGCAGGCCACGCTGGTCTGGCGAGCAGCCCCGCAGTGGCAGGCCCCCGCTGCGCCGCGCCTCGCCTCACACCCCCTCCCCCCTTGTTCTTCCAGCAGCAAGGCCCGAGCGCGCGGGTGCGCGCTGGCTCACGCGTGCAGGCTGAGCTCTCTTTAGTGTGTTTGCCCTGGACGCGTGTGTTCCAATCCATGCTCGCGCAACGCGCGCACGCAAAGTCGCGCGTCGATCGGGCGCGCAGCCGGAGGCACCGCACACCGGGCATCCGCCCCCGCCCCTCCCCACCCCTCCACTCGCCCGCGAGCGCGCGCCTGTGCGGCCGCGTGCAACGAATAGCACACTGTCGGTAACGAGACGCCCTGGACTGGGTCCCCGGCCGCGCGCCTGCGGGCCTGATGGCCCAACAGCACTCCATCACACACGTGTGAATCCAGCCACCTCAGCCTCAGCTCGCGACAGCGCCCATCCCAGCTGACAATAACCAGGCCCCACACCAGCCCAGGCAGCCCTCTCCGTTGAACCCCAATGTGACCCTGTGACAGCACAAAAACGACAATCCCCGCGAGCCAAGCACACGCCGCAGGCGGCCGCTGCATCGTTACTCGGGGGGCGCCGGCAGCGGCGGCGCGCCGCCTTGCCGCGCATCATCAACAAACGCGGCCGCCACGGCCAGCAGCGACAGCGCGGCTGTTTCCGTCCTCAGCCGGTGGGGCCCCAGCCCGACGGGCAGAGCGCCAGCGTCGAGCAGGGTGGTAACCTCGGACGGCGAAAAGTCGCCCTCTGGGCCCACCAGCAGCCAGATCTGTCGGCCGTCCCTGTTTGAACGATGTTGGAGGTTTTGGGGGCGAGGAGGGCGTGGGGCGGCTCGTGCAGGCAAGGTGGGCGAGAAGGCGTGGCGCGTCAATGCAAGGCAGCAGGGATTATGGGCAGTCCGGGCGGGGCTGCCGATTCACAGGGGTGCAGGGGCGCACACCATGGGTCCGTGTCGGCTTGCGAGCCGTCATCGCCGACGCCGCTGCCGGCCCCCCGCCGCCGCGCCTCCTCCAGCTGCCGCAGCGCCGGCGGCGCGCCGCCCGCCGCGACAAGCGCCAGCGCCGCGCCCCGCGCCTCCGCCGCCGCGTCCCGCAGCGCGGTGGGCGGCCGCAGCTCCAGGCCGTGCGCGCGCTGCGTCTGCTTCATCGCCGCGGCTGCCAGCCGCGCCAGCCGCCCCGCGGGCCGGTAGTCCTCCTCCCCTGCCGCCGCCTCTGCCGCTGCACCGCCACCGCCGCCGCCGCCGACCTTGCCGGTCCGGAACTTTGACCGGCCGGCGCCGGCGTTTGATCGCTCCGTGACCAGAGGGACCAGGCTGTGGGCCCCCAATTCTGTGGCCTTCTCCACAAGCCAGTCTGTGCGGCCGCCGGCGAGGGTGAGGCACCCGACAGCCAGCACGAGCCGCGGGCCGCGCCAGGGCAGCTCGCGCGGCGCCTCGACGGCGCACACCTGCGGCCGGGGCGGCGGTCTGTTTGCGAAGGACAAAAGCCTGGCGCAGGGCGGCCCCGGCGGCTCACCCTGGCGCGAGGTGGTCGTGCATGCCGCCGTGCTCGCGCTTACGGACTCGAATCCACACACATACATACGTGGACGCAAAACGTTGCACAAGACGCACCGTCGCAGAGCCCTTGTCAGCCTGCACCAGCTCGCACCGCACGAGGTGGCCGCGGCCATCACAGAGTTCGAGAGGGTCCCCCGGCTGCAGCCGCAGCGCGCGGTACGCGTGGCGCGCCTCGTCAGCGCCGAGCTGCACGCTCCGGCCGGCTGCGGAGGCGCACGGCGCGCCGCGGCGGGGGCGCGGGGCGGGCGTCGGGGCCGGGCGGCAGGGGCGGCAGGCGGGGTGGGGTGGGCCCTGATAGGCCCTAGGCATGGGGCGGCCACGGCGCGCCGTTGTTGATTGCATGCAGGAAGCGAGCGCACGATATTCACCATGCTATCAATGTGGCCGCGCTCACCAGCTTGGGGCAGTTCGAACGAAAAGAAGCGCGGCAGGGCAGCGGCGTCCGCGCCGGCGTATCGCCCGTCCTCGCCGGGAGCCGCCGCTGCGGTCGACGATTGCAGCGCGCGGCAATGCGTCGCGCGGGGCCGGCGGAGCAGGGTCGCCCTGGATCGCCACAGGCGGTTAATGCATCGGCTCCTCGTGCTCAGGAGCATTGAACAGGGTGTAGGCGATACTAGCACCACGCTTATAATCCTGATCGCAGATTGTGACTATAGCTGCGATGCAGACGTCGCCGCACAGCTATCGGTACATGAATCAAAATAAGTTTGATTGTCTACGTTCTGCTCAAGTCGCCGCCAGCACCACACGCGGCGGCGGCCACGGCAGTTGTCACCAGGTGCCCGCAGTCGTCACCTGTGGTGTCTGCCTGCAGTACGGTACACTGTGAGGGCGTAATTCTCCTAAAAACCTGTCATAAACTTGCATCTATGCAGGGGCTATCCCTGCACACCACAGTAGCTGTGCATGATGCTGGCCTGGCCCCCGGCCCGCGCGGCATGGCCGCCTTCGTGCGGTGCAGTGCCATACATGCAGCTGGCCGCTCACACCCCTGTCAAACGTAATCCTAGCATTCCTTCACACAGTCCCAGGCCTCAAAATGTGTGGATCACACAGCTGCAGCAACTTCCCTTACTTGAATGGATGCGCGAATGCTGCTCTGTGGGCGGCCCTGGGGGCTTAGGGTCTGGCACCTGCACTCGCTGCAAGTGCTCCTTTCTGCATCCACAGCAGCGCTGCCCGCAGCAGGCACAGCCGTGCTCTCCACTGCACGCGCAGGTGTCCGAAGACCGGCTGTGCAGGTCGCTTGTGCGCAGGTGGGAACAGCAGCGGACCAGCAATTGCAATCTAGTCAACTCGCCATCGGCATGTGTGACATCATTGACGTTTCACATTACTGAAGTTGCTGCACACAGGCGGAGGCGCAAGGCAAAGCAGAGAGTTTTGCACCAGAAGGCGCCTGCTGACACAGCAGCAGCAGAACAGGCTGGGGCTTAATTCAATGCAGGCCGAACCAAGAGAACAGTCATCCCTCGTTACAATGAACAAAACGGGCCCCCCCAACCCCGTTCGCATTAGGTGTTCTGTTCACATCCCTGAAAATGTGAATATCTGGGCTGGGGTGTTCGCATATCTGAGGGAAGGCTGAATTGAGCCATCACAGCAGGTGGTTACATACTTCAAACGCACAAAGACATAAAAACCAAAT